AAATGTTTGCTGGCTGTGTATGCATTAACCCAAAAGGATGTTTCTTTTACCAAAAAACTAAAGAAAGCTTTTAAGTATTCAACATTTCAAACCAAGTTTTTTTTCTTGTCGTTCAAATAATTTGACCAAAAATTGGCATTTCTTGTTGAAAACTAAATGGGTAAAAAAAACTGTATGAGTAAATGTGGTTTATGTTATGCAGTTCTAGATGATAGAAATGGCTGGCTTTTGATCAACGTTGTACCTTAGCCCTAAGAGTGATAAGTATCAAATTTCTCCCTGCCTTGTAAAACAAATGAGTAACAAGAATTAGGAACATGATCACACAAGATGATTTTGGTTGACATTAAAACAACTTCTTCCTAGTACCTCTAGAGGCAATGCATAGGGACAACAAATGAGAATTCGAATTTTGATATTATGGTTTAAAGGGATAATGTCTTATCTGGCCAAAACTCAGTAGACTGTTTGTACCTTGAATTCTCTCTTTTTTCAGGAAGTTCAGGTCAAACTCATGCGTGATCTCCAACTTGCACCAAAAGTTAAAAGTCTTCAGAATGTCTTGCAGGTAATTAGTTTGTCAATAGTTACCTTGGACCATAGCTAAGTTACTCTGTAACCAAATGTATTCGAATTGCAGGATGTGTTTTGCCTGCAGTTCTAAATCAGGTAAGTTCCTTAGCTTTTTTATGGGTCTAGCCTGTGAATACAATCAACTCTCCACGCTCTTTGCTGCTAGGGACATCTCTAGCAAGGCGCAGGGAGAGATGGCTGTACTCGCAGGCTGTATTATCTGCTTTGCAAGAAAAATCTTGGAGAACCTGGAAACTATCCAGAATCACGTATTTATGACTGAAATTACTACAGGTAAAGTTTACAAGACATTCTGTCCACCCCAAGTAGCTGTTCCTGAGTCTGAGAATGTGTGAGTCTCATGAGATTTACTCACTTTGTATTTTTTAGTACACTTTCCCAGGGATTTCACTAAGGACTGGGGACAGGGGTTTTTCAGCTACTATGAACATCACCCCCGGCTGCTTTTCCTAGCTATTCCCCGGCAGCTGGAAGTGAGAGCCCTGTTTTCAATAGGAAACCGGTGCTGAGTTATCATTTCTCTAAAAACTTCATTGTATAAAAGAAACGAGTTTATTTACGTTTAAAAATTATTAATTATGTGTAATTGAGTAAGGTCAGATCGGCTAGTGATGTCTTCCTTGAAGGATGGAAGAAGCTCACTTCACTCTAGTTTGTTTATTGGATAGTGGTTTAGTGCATACTTTTGTATGTTGCTATATATGTGCATTATTTTAATTTTTAGACCTTGTACAAGCAAGAGGATTATTTAAAAGATCAAGTGGCCATCTACAGAGGTATTGCTAAGCTCTGTTGTAGTACCATTTAGTGCATTTGCATCAGCTATGCCAAACAAACAAAGAAACAAAGAAAGGAAAACAGTTGTTTTGGCAATTGCTGGAGGTCATTGTACATGGCATGTACTAGATAACAGCTTTATTGATGCCTGGTGGGACATAAGGAGTTTTGGGCTGCCCATTGGCTAACACTAAAGCAACTTTTGAGCAACCTTGCTGGTTCATCATTAGCGAAGCATGCCCTGGCTACAGAACTTTGTTTTTGAAAAATCCTAGGATGAAATAATTCGCGTCTGTGGCTGCCACAGCTTCTCTGCTCGATTTTTGTATGATTTAGTTAGAAAACCCCCTGGTGCCAAGGGTTTGTAAGGTATTAAAGGGGTCTCCCTTAACCAAACCCTTCTACACTTACAGTGCATCATGGAGTCTTCCAAGGTGGTTCTAATGTTTGACTCTGTGGACGAAATCCTGCGGTGTGAACATCTAAATGAAAACCTCTTTGGTAGTTCTTTCACATGGTACTATTTCTTTTTCATCATTTTACAAATTTTGACTTTTGCTTCTCAATCTGGGAGTGAAAAAGTTAAAACAGACAGCTAGAACTTGTTTCTAGGGTATCGCCAGTTTCTTAGTGTTACAGTGGTGCGATTACTACATGACCGATAAACAAGAGATAAAAGTATTGAACAATACAAAAACGACAAACAAAATAGTTTCCACAACACCAAGAAACAAAAGAATTGCAGGTTAAGAGAGTTTGGAGTTATTTCTGTTTCTTTTTCCTTACAGAATATTTAAAGGCAGTGAGAACAAAAGCAGTAACAGCTTCATCAAAGGTAACTACAATATTTTAGTAAAATCCAACTAGTGGTCTATTAACAATGCTGCGTTCTGATTGGTTGAGCTACTACTAGGCTATATGTTATAGCCCCCTAGCAGCAAATAGCGCGGGCTTTTTGACGGAAAAAAGGATTAAAGTCTAGCTTTAACGAGGTAAAATTTTTTTATTCTCGATATTTTTGACCAACTAGTCGGATTTTACTAAAACAATTATTCCTCTCGCCCTCATGGCCTCTGAGTTAATAGCCCATTCGGCTTTCGGCCTCCGGCCTCATGGACTATTGACTCGGAGCCGCTAAAGGCTCTTTTCAGGTCGTCTACGTAGTAAGAGTTTTGTCCATTTTGCGGGGCATATCTGCAACTCGACTTGTTCAAACTTTTTGATCGTGTTAATGGAAATGAGGTAATTAATTCCTAAATTATTATTATTACTGGAAATAAAGTTTAAGAAAAGAAAACGGAGAAAAAATAAAGGAAAAACAAATCACTGTTGTGGCCAATATGTAGCTTGGATTTTTCCTTTACAAACATTCAACAGGCAAGTTCAAGTCAAAGTGAAAAATGGCCTTGAAAATTCCTTTTTAAACAACCTTGTTACTTATCATTTCAGGTTATGCTGAGGGAGACACCTCAAGGCTTGCCTCCTTGTTTACTGTTTTCTTCGTTGCTTTTTATATAGTTGTGTTGTATTTTTACAGAGAATTGTCAAAGATCCTTCTGTATCTGAGAGAAACCCGTCTTTGCCTGTGGAATTAAGTTTGTGTCAACTTGAAAAGGAAGGCGTCATATCGCATGTTCATAGTCAGAGATCACTTGAAAAAAGGTAGGTTTAAAAGCAACGTTTATTTCACAAATTCTGTTTATTCCATGTTTGTAAACAAGACGTGTCGTGATAAAAATCCAAAATAGCTTAACATGACCTTTTGGAATCGTCCCTTCCTGAAGTGATAAAATGTCAGGTTTCTCACGTAACCCACGTTGGATTCACCAGTCAGGGTCTTTGCTGCTCGCGGGGTTCTTTATATTATCCCCTCTTGCAAGAGAAATGACAGAAACTTTTTCGTTAGGCCACGCCCCTGATGTGTACTTGTTGTGGTTCAATTTTATCCTTGGTTCAAATTTTTTTCTCTTTGTTTTGGGGTATGGCAATTTATGATAATGACTTTGAAGCAAAGGGAAGCATTATACAGTCACTCTCTCTTGGACGGACACCTTGGGGACCGGCGCTCATTCTAAGAGTGGTGATCTTCTTACAGAGTCGAATAAGAGAGTAAAGAAAGGCAGGGACCAACCCCAGGTGGTGTCCGGTGAGAGAGAGAGAGAGAGAGAGTCGACTGTATTTCATTACAAGTTACTTTTAACTTTGGAGACTCCGGGGGGGAAGACTAAGATATTTTATTTTCCTTCACAGAAAATCTGATATTACAGTAACAATCGCGTGCTCAGAACCTGGGGTTTACCAAGTGCTCCTTCAAAACCGAGGTAAATCATACTTTCATAGGATCAAGAGTCTCTGTGCTTCACCGTTTACCACAGAGAACATTTGTGTTAACATGGTTTTAGCCTTGTTTGCACGTAACCTTCCTTTGAAAGTGAGGGCTTTTGGAACTCGGAAATACCCTATTGCTCAAGCCAATCACGAAAGAGAAGACTTTTTAGCTAACCAATCAAAACTAGAAAAATCTCCTTAAAACCGTCTCCGAACGCGGGAAACTTTTGTGGGCGAGTCACGACTGGTATTTACTTTTTGATTGGTTTAAAAAGGACACGTGACTTTTTTAGCCTTTCATATTATGTAGTAACGCAAACCTAATTGGTCTTTAGAGGAAAGTCGTTCTATAAAGGAGAATCGACGTCAAATCGTTTTTCCGCCCCGTTATTGTGACGCTACTTCCATGTATGGCGGCACAGAAGCGAACCGAGGGGCCTCCTGGTGTCAGGCTATGTTTATCGCTCGTCACTGGACATTATTTATATTACGGTCTTATATTTCCTTAAATTTATTTTGTTGCCTCCATCAGTGTATCAACACTGGTACGCAGAATATTAGGTTAGGAGCGATGTACATGTGTTAGCCGTTTTAACGAACGCTGCTTGCAGTGATCGTGCCAAGCCGCCATCTTGAAAGCAAATAAAAAACTAAGGGAGGAGGGGTCGGTAAGGAGTGTGGGGAAGGGAGAAGAAAGGGGAAAACGTTCTCGTCCCCTCCCCTCCTCTATTTTAGAGACGTCGTCCTCTCCCCAGGATTTTTTTTTTTTGACTCGCTCCAACTCTCTGTCAGTTTCTACATCAAAGATGGTGGGAGGGCATTTGTGTCATTGCTCGCTCTGCAAAATACACCTTGTTTGCAGGCTAGGCATGTGCCTGGTAATAATTGAGGAAAGGGGGAGGGGGGACGGTGGGGGAAGCCTGCAGGCAAGCTCTCCAATTATGGCGAGCAAAGCGAGCCGCAAGCCTTCGCGTCTCTTTACCTGTGTGGTTCTCGTGTGACTTCGCGTGACTCCCCCAAATAACGAGCTTGCTCGCAGACTAGAACATGCGCGGTGCGATACGCCGGGCTGAGATGGGTGGCTGATTACAGAGGGACTAAAGAAAATGTACTGGACGTAAAGAAAATTATTTTTTCTCTTTGTCGCTTTAGGTAACCCGAGAACAGATCGCGAAGTTCACATAAATTTGGAAGAATTATTGGAGCTTCAACACCAACGAGATCCGGTCAGTTATTTGCGTCAATTTAAAACATATGTCATGAAAATCCTTGACAGTTTATTAGTGAGGACACAGTGTTATAGTTTTTATTGTTATAATCAGTTTGACCTAAAGCGCTGCTTTCTTGATTACCTTTAAGTGGGAGATGAATTTCGAAAAAGAAAATATAATAGTCCAGGAAAGTGAATTTATGAGAGACGATGATCGACAAGCCGAAGATCACCTTTAGCTTTGCGTAGCATCCTGCACGAGAAGACGGCCATGTGGGTGGTCAATACCTGTTTCTTTGCTGATCATTTCTTTTATTCTTATGACCCTTATGTTGGATTAAGTAGTGGTATCATGAGGAGAACTTACATTCTGGTCAATCTTTAAGTTAAGAACCCTTTAAATACTCTGTCATCTACGCGCCGCTCTCTGTAAAGCGATGCGATGTCTCAAAGCGATCTTTCTGAGCAGGCATTTCACTTTTCATATAGGAAGTAGAGCAGCGAAAGAACAGAAATGAAAATCACTTTGAACGTAGTAACAGTTCTTGAACAGATGGTGACATAGATTGCGAACGGCCGTCCTTCTTCCTTTAGAGCTAAGCTCGGTGAGCGAAAAAAAAAACTCGCCCTCGAGCGTGCTCTCGATCTAGTTTGAGTCAAAAGAAAAATAAGAAACTGTTCGCCATCTAACTGTGACAGTGCATTGAACAACTTCTAGTTCTGTTCTTGAAAGAACGCTGAATGATGTACATCTGATACACAATGTGGAGCCTCAAAAGTGTCAAGATCTGAAAAAAAAGAAAAAACGCGTGGTCAGAGAAAGCAAAACACACGCATGCGCAAAAGTTGAAGTATCGCATGAATTTTAACTATTTTCGCGAGGCTGTCCGCCCTAGCGGACAGTGATTCAGTTTTTAATGTGCCTTTGCGATATGTTTTTCTCCTTGTTAAATTATAGTTTTTGTTTTGTTGTTCCTTCCTTCTTTGTTCGTGCGCAAGCATTTTAAACGATTGTTTAATAAGTTTATGAAAATATTTTACAGCCGACTTCATAGCGCACAAAGGGTCTGTGAGTTTAGGTACATAACTACCCCTCTTGAAAATTTTCAGACTGTAAAGGTCAATCTCTTTGTGCCTTTTAGACAATAGCGCCTTTTCACTGGAACTATAAACTCTTTTATATAGCTTGAGTAAATTATGTGCTCTTGGAATGTGATGTGCATTGATGAATTTTGGCTCATTTTAATGGTAATGAATTCCGGGTTCGGCTGTCAATTTCTATTATTCTTTCTCTTTTGTGTGACTTAGCACGCGCCTACATGTGCAGTGACAACCCACTCAATATAGTTTGTGATTAATATTCCTGCCAGCCTTGCGATATTTGTTCGTCAGTAAAATTTGGTGCCAAACGTGGTACAGGAATCTGTCGAAAGGTACTGATGTTGTTCATGCGTCTAAAAAATATGCGGCTTAGTAGTAAAGCCTGCGTCATTCCATAGTTTAAGAATCTTGTAACACTCGCACGCCACCACAATTATCCATAAATATTGATCTTCATTTTTTATGATGTGGACGACGTTGTATTTTGGTTGAGGTTATCTGACAGTCTTGAATCAAACACTGACATCGGAGCATGTCAATGATACGAAAATCAAATCGAGTTCGTTCTTCACGTAGCGTCTTGTATTTATTGTGGGTTTTTGAAAAAGTTTGGTAACTTCTGTGGCTACAAGTTTGTGATTTTTGTAATACTGGTCTCCAAATTTCAAGTGGAACCATCAAAGTAAGGACTTTAGCACGTGCAGTAAATAACCGCAGGTATTGGCGTGGGTATTTATCAAATCATGAATACATGTAGTGAACTTTCATTAACCGTTTTTTAAGCAATAAGGACCCTAGAAAGCAATAATGTTTGTCAGGAAATTTGTGAAATGAGTGACCTTTTCAAAGTAATTGTTTTGCAAATCAACGGCGAACGTTTTATTAAGTACGATGATCTATTATGTGAGAGAATTTAGTAGGCGTTTTTGGGCAATACGAAACACCCTTTTTCAAAATGTTTGGGAAAATTCTAGATTGCACAATGTTTCCAGAGTAGCTGACTTATTTTTAGCAATAGTTAAGGACATATTGAAGAATAAGTGTAGATGAATTTTTAACCACATTTCGTCAATCCTGGCGTAAACGTTCAGTTTTTTGCGTTTTAAAGAAACAATATTGTTGCTAAAAGCTTGCTTAAAAATTTTGATTATCGGGTCTCGTTTTTGGAAATCGTTTTTTTACGGCCGCGCGATTCGTTTGTTAGTGCATGTTACCAAGCGCTTTGGCCAGTGTTGCGACAGTGTGTTTGAATGAGAGGTGTGGTATTGTTGCGTGATTATCTCAGTGAACAAGCGGTTTATCTTACAATCGCTAAATCGGTTAACCACTACAAAACCTTGCCGAAATGGAAACAAATACGTGTTAGTGATAAAATCAAGGAGGATGTTTATCCGCGAGCTTGTTATTCTCAAACATCTATCAGTAAACAAGGTCTTTCCGTGGTGCGTCGTTGACGCTGATCCTTCTAAACTACAACGAAATTTAGTTCTGTTACGCGAAAAATAAAGGAGAAGGCATTTATGTTTTTACTCTTAATGAGAATTATTGCGCCTTCTCTGGGGTTTGTTATTCAAAATAAAGCTCTGTAACTTCAACTTAAACTATGTTTCACTTTTGAGAACATAAACTCAGTTGGAAGACGAGTAGTTTTGGTGTTTGAGTGAAAAAAGAATGAATATTTCAATTAGAGCGGTACATCTTTAGTACCCACATGACGTAAATGGGCGTTTCATGAAACAGATTTCCCTTTCGGTATAGTGTTTTGACTTAAGTTAGTGAACCTGCGTCTGGTAAAGCTTTTGGTTTTCAAGGTTTTTTTACAAACCGTTACTCAGCCACAGTCCAGACGTTTCCCTTTTGAACCAGTCATGTGGAGAATTATATTTTGATATATATATTTTTAGAATGCTTTTGTAATTAGTGACAATAAATTGGCACATTCTAGAATTATTAACTCTCATTTCCGTGGTTTTCTTATGCGTCAGCAATTTCTAATTTGGAAGTGACTTCACGTAGATATTTCTTTACCGTTTCTGTAATTATCTTTGGTAACGAGCAAGCAGGAGGTCTGGACCGATACATCCTTGACGCAGGACATATAATTTTAGGGAGTTCCCTATAGACTGACCGGACCGTTACAAGTTCCGCCAGTTATCCAGTAAAAGACCGTCTTATTGTTTGTTTGGTTTATAGAGGAAACATCTTTCTAAATGTAGACTTGCTAATTGCACTTTTGTTTACGACTGTTCTGTCTGATACTGTGATCTAAAGAACCGCACAGCTCAGAATACCTCAGACGCGTGGGGAAATGACGTTCCCGTTTTGGTGTGTAATCGTCGCGTGTAGGGTTAGATGTAAAATAACGAGATCACACAATGATAACTCGCACAATTTTAAATGTCTTTTTGCGCCCGCATCCTTAAGAATGACGTGAACGCTGTAAGGGAAGTTCATTTTTTGCATGCCATCTTTATCACGAACGTAACTCTTTGTACTACTGCAGGTGTCGCGTGTGACTAGCTAAACAAAATGAAAATAGTGTAACGTGCTTTTCGGCATTTCCACTGTTACGTTTTTACGTAGTTTACCCTCCGTCTTTTGTACGTAATTCAGTCATTAACAATAGTGCAAACTGTTATTTAGTGTATAAGCACTTCCCCCTTCTCTCGGCCTCCTCGTTTGCTTTTATTGTGTTAATTTAAAGGAGACAGACGGCAAATATTTATTGCTCGAAATATCTAAAGTCGTATCTTTTGAGTCATCATTTGACGATGTCTAAAATGTGTGCAATTCCACAATTGGTTTCGGCTCCGTTAAAGGTGCCACGTCACGAGGATATTGCTGTTTCAGGTCAAGTCTGTACTGAAGTCATTACTTGGTGCCTTTACTCATCCACAAAATGCTCCTGTAAAGTTGTGAAAAAGATACCAAACAAATTTCATCAGGGAACACTTGCCTTAATACTTTTTGGTGACTTTTGCAGCATAGCATTAAAACTTGAAAAAGTTGGCCCAATTTTTTCACGTTTATCCATGTCCATCCTTGCCCGATCCGTAGCAACAGCGGACAGGAAACAGTTTCAGTTTTTATATATAATCTAAAATAACAAAACCGCCCCATTATTTTTATAGTTCAATTGATGGCAAGACACATAGTAGCTTTTTAAAAAGATGACAAATAATGCGACATGGCTCTTTTAAATCCTATGATTGAAATATGCACAACATACTTAAAGCAAGCGTTGTAAAATTGTGGTATTAGTTGATAAGAGGGCGGAAAAGTGAGATGATTTTTCTTTGGTACGTAGAACGCTGAAAAAGCTCTTGCTTTCGCGGTCAATGGAAGGCAGATCCTACTCTTGCCTTCGTGGACAAAGTCCAAGTTGTATCCATTGATATCCTCAATGATTCTTTTTAAACGCAACTAAAACTCTTTTGTGCTCATTTCAAATGTTTAGCCAGTGACTGGGATTTTATGCACTAGAAACGTCGAACTTTGTTTTACTGAATAATGAGGAAGAATTTTTGGTTCTAAATTAAATCAAGATATCGAAAACTTGTCGGCCTGCCTTCTAAGAAATTCAAGCCCTTACCAAAGTTTTTATGATTGAGAGATTGTTGGTTTTAAATCAAGGTATTATTTTGTCATTCATGCACTTAACATTTTCTTTTAATCTGAGTGACACACTAAGGCTCGATGAAGCGCTTAAACTGATTCTACTTTCTACTTTTAAGGACTCTACACTAACTTCCTTTGCGTTATTACTGCTAAAAATATTGGCATCCTCAGTCTTTTGGGCGTGGGTGCAGGTTACATGTGTTTTTGTTCAACATCTTTAGGCACAGAGCATGCAGTTCAAATTGTATCTTTAGCAGTATTAGCTCTTTTAAAAGATGAGAACATTTGAAAGAACTG